GGAGTACAACAAGGTTGCTGATGCCTTGTCGCGTAGACCTGATTTCTCAGGTGCGCTGATTACTGAGTTCGATCTGACGGACAGTGTTACTTTGTCTTTGGTGGAAGCCTATCGCGAGGACCACTTCATGTCTTAGATCATACGCAGACTTGAGGCGAAGGACAAGAAGACTTCTGCCGAGTTTGAGTTGGTCAATGGCTTGCTGCTCCTTGAGAAGGAAGGGAATAAACGATTGTGTGTCCCAAATAGCGAGTCTTTGCGTAGTTTGTTTTTAGGTGAGTGCCATGATGCCACCGGCCATTTTGGGTATAAGAAGACCGCAGCCAATCTGCTGCAGCGGTTCTGGTGGCCCACGATGATGCTAAATGCCCAGCTGTACGTGGAGACTTGTCAAGTTCGTCATATGGATAAGCTACGTACTCAGGCTCCTCTTGGGCTTTTGAAGCCCCTTCCGATTCCGGAACGGCCTGGTGGGAGTCTGTCCATGGATTTCATGGATACTCTAATCACTAGCAAGAGCGGGATGCATCACATCTTCGTCGTCGTGGATAGATTTAGTAAGTATGCTAGGTTAGAAGCAATGCTGGAAACAGCAAAGACGGAGTATGTGATCCGAATGTTCAAAGAGAACTGGGTTAGAGACTTTGGTTTACCGAAGTCTATTGTCAGTGACATGGATGTCCGGTTTACCAGCGAGTTGTGGAAGGCCGCTGCTGCAGAGCAGGGAACTCAGTTGCAGATGACTTCTGGGAATCACCCAGAGGCCAATGGACAGGCCTAGCAACTGAATCGCGCTGTACAACACCTGTTGAGGCACTACATCAAGCCCAACCAGGTGGACTGGGATGAGAAGCTTGCTCTCATCGCCAGCTTGTATAACAACGCTGTACACAGCGCCACCGGGGTGAGCCCAAATAGCTGACTGCTAACATTTAAGACCGAGACTGCCCCTAGACTTCCTTCTCCTTGAGAATCAATCCACTGCTGCACCAGGTACCTTAGAATTTGCGTATCGCTATGAACAGAAGATGCAGCAGGCTGTAGAACAGATGCAGAAGGCGCAGGCTGCAATGATAGAGTCTGAAAATAGACACCGCTGACCTTTTACATTTCAGGTTGGGGATAGGGTCTGGGTGAAGTCTTCAGAACTGGGACAGGAGCACGGGATCTCCCGCAATCTCATGCCCCAGTACTTTGGACCCTGGGAAGTCTTGGACATCGTTGGGACAGATCCGGATGGTCCATCTTATGTTATCCGGATAGCTGGTCACCTCGGCACTTACCCTGTCTTTCACGCCTCTAAGCTGGCACCTTTCAAAGAAACTGATCAGTTTCCATCTCGACGCTCAATGCTGTCCCCAACCATGGACGGAGTGGTGGACATCGATGACATCGTGGACCACAGAGAGCTGCCAGTATGAAGACCAACAGGCAGGGGACGCCCTCCGAAACCGAAGCTGCAATATCGCGTTCGGTTCCGGCATCACACTGATCCGAAGGTTCACCAGGGAGGAACTCATGCTGACCGCTCCTCGAGTTGTAGCCCAATACGAGAGATCTCTGCAGAAGGGAAAGCTCCCCATGATTGAAGACTGAGCTTCTCAGAGGACTGTTGGAGCTAAGGAGGAGGGAATGCGAGGCCACTGCCTCTATGAGCCCCATAAGGCCCCATTTTGCAGCCCGTCGGCCGCCCTAAGTGAAGGCAGGCTCGACGAGGCCCTCAGGGCCCTATTCTGGCCACCAGGCAACTCAGGGAAATTCAGGCAGTTGCGCAGCGCCAGTTGGTTGAGTGAACCCAGGCCCTGGGCCGCCTGTGTGAATGTATGTGAAGCAGGCCCTGGGCTGGATACGGGTACTGGGCCAAACACWGGCCAAAGGCAGTTGGGCACATGCAACCACCTCAGGCCCAAGGCCTGTTYTCGTCGTGCTGGGCCTCAGGCTACCGGGGCCTACTGGAAGCTTCCTGGGACTGGACGCAGGCAGGCCACTTCGATATAGCAGAGGGCCTGCCTCCGCATTCAGCATTCGGGTGCTGGCTGCATGCTGCTCAAGCGCTGCTGCGCTATTTGCTGGCTGGCGCCTACGCTCTCATGGGCGAGCAGGAAAGGAGCACGCAGCCATAGCCGAGCGGCGCTGCTGTAAGCTGGGTGAAGCGCAGGGTGGTCCTTGGGTGCTAGTGGCATCTGTGTGTTGGGGAACAAGGTTGTGAGTGTGGCGAGAGACATACCTGGTGCTGGAAGCGTGCGACGCTGGTCGCTGTATGCTCGTACTTTGGGAAAGCTGTTGACGTCATCTTTCGACATCGTAGTGTAGGCTAGATGGGATCTGCGACATGTAGTCTGGGCGCCGAGCGCCAGATAGGATACCAACTCTGGTTCTTCGTTGATGATGATGGGACTATTTCAGCATTGTCAATTATGAACTCCTGGTGTGTTCTTATTTGGTGAATCTCGTGATGCGATTGTGCTGTTGGTTCGAGGTCACGACTATCTGGACTCATATGTATGATGCTGTTTGATTGCTGAAGTTCGCTATTGCGCATCTTCCTTGCACGTGCTACGCAGTAGTATCAATTCCCTTGATAAAGTTGATATCATATTCTGCATCTCCTCAAAGCGCACTCATTTGCTCTGCACTCATTGACTCTACACATTGTGACCTCTTTGCGGTTCTTTCCGCTTTTCTTCTGCCCTTGGCCCATTATGAAAGGGTTTCAGCACTGCAGCCCTGGTCCATTCCCATTCCCATTCCCAGTCCCAGTCCCAGTTCCAGTCCGAGTCCCATTCCGAGTCCCAGTTCCAAGTTTCATTTCTAGACCAAGTCCCTGTCACCTAGAGGATATTCCTGTGTCGCAGGTAGGCTACCGGGTAGTTGTGCAGTTGGCGGATGTAGGAAAGAGTCTGCTGTGCCCCAGCAGATTTGGGAAAATCTGTCGAAGTCGGTAGGCCGTTTTTGAACAGTTGGTCCCGTCAGCAGCAAAGTCCCAGGAAAGTCCGCAAGCTTGTGGAAGTAACAAATATGAGCAGCATACCGTACCGGCACACAACTGGTAGAGGAAGGCTGGAAGGCAGCATACCGTACCGGCACATAACTGGTAGAGGAAGGCTGGAAGGCGAATCGTAAAGTACAGATGTCCAGTTCTGGAAGCTGCCAACCCAATTGCACTTGCATGACCAGGCAGGCAGAAGCACTGCTATGATATGTTGGGATACCCTGCTGTATGTGCGCTCTTCGAAGGAGGTTGTTGACGGTGCTGGGCGCCAGTAGCCATAGCTAGGTTGAGGGTGGGAGAGGGAGAGCCTGGAGAGCTATTCAGAGAGACGTGAGGCTTTTTTTTTTGGGGAGAGAGAGAGAGAGAGAGAGAGAGAGAGAGAGAGAGAGAGAGAGAGAGAGAGAGAGAGAGAGAGAGAGAGAGAGAGAGAGAGAG